CACCCCAAGATAAGTTTGGGTGGTTCCTCCAATTGGGATTGTAAGTGTTCCCATATTGGTTTGTTTGGCCCCTATTTGAATTACCCACAAAGCAGACAGACTCTGGGTTTGCGGGGCATATGTCGCTCGTGTGCCCTTCTCCACATATTTCACAAAAAGCTTGAACCTGTTGTACTGGTTGTACTTGTTTCTTGTTGATACTCAAGTTCATCTTGTTGACTTGATTGGTCAGTGTAGAAATCTGCGCTGATAATGCTGAGACGACATCTAACTCAAGAACCCCTGCAGACTTTTGCACTGTGTGTCTGCCCATCTCTCCTTGCCAATCCGGATTGCTCTTAGAGAATTTGTTCAATAATGCATATATCTCGTCAAAGCTTTTCTCCAACACTTGACCCTCAGCTGCAGCATCTACCACGATCTTAGTTTCAAAATGTAGCCCTTCTATGAAAGTGTGAGCTAACACTTCATTCGTCTGATTGTGATGAGGACAGTCTCTGAGTAGCCCCTTGAACCTTTCCCAAGCTGAGTATAAAGATTCTCCAGATTTTTGTTTGAAGGCAACTATCTCACTTCTGATCTTTGCAGTTTTGCCGGAAGGGAAAAACCTTGCCAGAAATTTTCTCGCCAAATCGCTCCATGATGTAATGGAATTAGCTGGTTTTGCCTTTAGCCATCGCTTAGCCTCGCCCAACAGAGAGAATGGAAAAAGTGTGAGCCTCACATAATCTGGAGTGACCCCGTTAGTGATATAAGTATCACTAATCTCCAAGAAGTTCAGAATATGCTGCTGTGGATCTTCGTGTGGAAGACCCATAAATTGTCCGTTTGCATGAAGTAACTGGATCATGCTCTGTATCAGCTCAAAGTGCCCAGTGATCCTGGGCTTCACTATACTGGAGGTGACATTAGCAATGCTGGGCATCGCCACCTCCTAAACAGCCATGGGTTGCTCCTCTGCCATGTCTACAGGAAATTGAACAAGTGCCTGAATATTATTCGTGTCCCTTGCTTCCCTCAACCTCCTGTGAAATGTTCTCTCAGGTTCAGGATCAAAGCCTTCAAGTCGGTCCTGGCTTCTGACCCTACGCATTCAATCAAAGTTCCTGAGATCTGAGCAACAATCAAGTAACGTTAGACTAGACGAAATAAACAATTAAAGCAAAAACTAGCAAGTAGCTAATATTCAAGTCCCCGGCAACGGCGCCAAAAACTTGTTGCTCCCAAACGCACACGCAAGTATACGTGGTCGACAAGTAATATAATGATAAGTTGAGTGTCGAACCCACAGAGACTTGTGTAAACTACTCACTAAATCACTAAAATTGTTATTCAATCTAGCTAAAAGCAAAGTCCAATAATATGATTATACTATACTACGATTCTAAATAATAACTAAATTATCAAGTAACGAGTTGATTGTTGTGTATTCAATAGAGACAAATATTCCAGGGTTGTGATCGATTCACCAATCGTATTGTGTTCTAATTAACTTTCCCCTTCATATAATTCACTCATGGTTGCTAATTAATCGATAAATGCTCTCATAGCCTTCTCCCGAAGTACTACTCACCTATTCTCAATAGATTAACGCCTATATTCCTATGAAATCAATCTATCAAGAACGCATTAAGATCACGATATTTAATTAAGCACGGTGACTAGGTATATTACTATCCGAACCACAAATCCGCTCCCCCTAAGGGTTAAGATCATGCTCTCTTCAATTCTTCTCTAATCTAAACACGGCTTTCCAAGCATAGCATAGATAGTAAATAGAACCTAACTGCTGGCCAGACAATTAAGCAATTAAACACAGAATTGAAGAAACAACCACATATTGGTGGATTATAATCAAGGTCAAGCTAATATCAAACAACAATATTCATGGCTAAATCACAACCCAAGAACAATGGGTGTTGAGCCACTCATGATGTAATCAAACAATTGCATAAGTTTTGATTAATTGAAAATACTGGAAAAGATGAAGAATTCTGAGTTGTTCTTGCTCCTCAATGTTTCTAGCGTGTAGTTTTGCTCCAAAGTGCGTCTCCCCCATAAAATTAGGCTTAGTCTTCCTTTTATACGTGTTGGATAGGTCTAGGGTCGAATAAATCCTGTCCCGGGCGAAATAGGCCAGACTTCACGTAACCGGCGCCCAGCCCGGCCGGCCAGGCCCCCCCCATAGCGCCCAAATATTTTTGATACTATTTCCAGCGCCACAGGTGGCGCCAGGCGCTGCCTGTGGTGCCCAAATGGCCCTTTTTCGATTTTTGTTCGTTTTAGCTTCAAAGCATGTACGTTTTGCCCCCACTTGCTCCCGAATCATTCCTACAAGTAAAAACACTTCAAATTACTATAATTCATAGCATTTAACATCCCATATTCACGAAACAAGATTAAAATATGAGGCGATATACATAAAAATATATATACTTTAAGCTAAACATCACCTGGCGGCCTCTACGTTGTCCTTGAGGTACAACAGGCACCTCATCATCTCCAATATCATCTACCTCCTCCCCCGCAACCACATTGCCAAGAGGGTCATTGTTGTTTGCTGCCATTTGTACCTAAAGTCGTGACACAATGGAGTGCGGCCGCATTGCTTTTCTGCCTTGTATGAGTACTCTCTGAACCTCTCCTTTGCGGACCGCACAGAATGGAGTGCGGCCGCATTGGTCCTGTTTTGCTGAGCTTGGACTTGTTCTTGGGACTTGTGCATGTTTCACTCCTTTTTGAGCTGGTTTTGACGAATTGTTACCTTGTTGATCAAACCCTGCAATCAAGTACATCACGTAAGCCTTTGGGACTATTTTGTACACATTTCTAATCAAAACTCAAGTAATAAGGAGTGTAAAATGCATCATAATCCCTAGTTATCAACTCCCCCAAACTTAAGCTTTTGCTTGTCCTCAAGCAAACAAAATAAGACCCACCCCTTAAGAGTAAATCCAAGAAAATTCGGCCGCCCTAAAGTGAACTCAACTAGCATCAATTGGGACTAACAATTGCCCTCGATTCAAATAAAATCATTAAAAACATCCACTCTTTTAAACACCATGGATCTAGTGCGACACAAGAGCATCAAGAGTTGACTCAATACATGAAAGGAACTCTTTCTATTACTTTGGTCATTGTGGAACCCAAACTCACACATCCTCGACTCTCCCTAAGCAAACCTCACCTTTAGGATAGTATCACTCAGAACAAGGTTGATGGAAATACACTCATGTCTCTCAAGGAAAAGTCAAAAGTCCGGCACTAGGTACCATATGCTTGCCCCTTATGTGAGTCACCACTAATGTAAGCTTCATTCAACTCAAGATCATAAAGGGCTTTTGTGGAGACATAGTAAAGGCTTTTGGTGTAGGGTAGGAAATGTTTGGTCTAAGTATGTTCCATCTTCCCTTTAGCACTTCTTTTGCTTCATTTTGGCACACATTCACTTGACTTTTTAAGTCATTTCACTTCTTTCTAAGGGGTTAGAGAGACACACTGTCACTCTTTCTTGTTCATTTCAAATCTTTTCTCCTTTCTAAGCTTTCCACACCTTTCATTCTTTGCTTTTATTGAATCCCTTCATTCTTTTCCACATTGAACATTCTTTTTGTCTTTTTTATTTTCTTTCTTTTTCATTGCCTTTCCTTTTTAAATTTTACCTTTTACCACTTTGTTTCAATCCTCGTCTCTCCCTCCAAACTTATACTTTCGTCATGTGCTAAGGGAAGATCGGGTGCCAAGAGAGGGTATCTTTAGAACGGGTAAAAGCTTGTAGCGTGGTTCTTTGAAAGAAAAAGGTCTAAGGCTCAAAAGGGCTGACTAGGGATTTTATTATTGGTAGGCTATGGAAGTGTTCAAGATATCATTCGGATCAAGGAGAGCCTATAATCACGTCTCAAGTCAAATTACACTTAGGATTTCGCCTAGACAAACATTGAGGGCAAGTTCTAGACCAATGGCTCGGGACTTGGACTTACAATTCAAATTCTCACCACACAAGCTTTGGGATTGCTAAAGACACGGAGTTGGGGGCCCACAACAACCTTAGATAAGATTCTAGCACACAATGGTCCCAAAAATCACTTTATGATTATTGGCCAACACAAGAGTCTCAAGGTCACAACTTTCACCATCCTACACGCAACGATTTGTTTTTGACCATGGGATCAAAGATAAATGTGTTAGGCACAAGTGAAGCTTTGCTTGAGGCACCCTTACCAACTAACTACTAAAAAGCAAAAAGAAAAACAGACTCAAACCCTTAAGAAGGTTGTCACGCCATCCATCATCGGAAAGAGCCACCCGGTTCACACAAATTACACCTTTAAAAAGAACCGTGGCATTAAGAAAACCAACGGCTTATTGCAAAAACTCAAAACAAGAAGCTACGAACATAAATAAGAAGCTAAGAAATGAAAAATACGGAAAGTAAAATGAATATGTACAAGAGGGGATTTAGACGAATATATAATAGGGAGAATGAATATATACATAAGAAGGTAACTTTATATACAGACCCAAATTTAAAAAGTACGAAAAGTGCAATGAAATGCTAAAGTTATATACATACCAAAGATAAAAAAGGAAAGAAAGCATAAAATATTATCATATGTACATTCATCCAAATCCAAATAGGGCTATCCCCTCAAATGAAAGCTGGCATTGTCCTCAATGCCAACTAACCAAAATAAGCACAAAAAGAGAGAAGAGAGGAAAAAGAAACTCCCTATGGGTCCTCCGTCCGTATGGGATCCTGAGTCTGGGTCCCTGGGTCCTCTGTCTGCTCGGGAACCTGTGACTGGCTCCCTGTGGCCTGTGGCTCTACTGGGACCTGTGCCTGGACCTGGACTGAGTCCTGGGTTGACTCCTGGGGCTGGCTGGAGGAATCTCCCTGCGGGTCCTCCAACTGTTTGATTGCGTCATCTGAACAGGGAATCACCCTCCTCCTCTTGGGAGGCCTCTCTAACTCTTGCTCTGGCTGGGGCTGGGCTGCTGGTGCTGGTTCATGCAATATCAAATCTAAAGGCAGCTGATCCGTCTTCAGCCTGTCAACCTCTACCCTGAGCCTCTTCACCGACTCCTTTGAAGCCCGAGTCTTCTTCATTTTCTTTGCCTCCTTTGCAAGCTCCTTGAGTGCTTTCCCATGTGAATCAATGGCCTCTGTGATCAATTTCTGGTTCTCTAGGAGCTTCTTCTGGTTGTCCAGAAGCTCCTTGAGAGTGTCCTCAATGGACTGTGGGACCTGTGGAGGAGGAGGTGCTGACTGGGCTGCCACCGTAGTAGATAGTACAGACAACTTAGAAGAAGCTGTCTGCATCCACTTGTTGATGCTGACGAGGGCCTGGCTCAGACGGTGGGCAGTCAATGGGTAGGTAGAGGTGGAAGGTATGTCTGGAGCTGTAGAAGTGGATGGACCTGGGGGCATGTCTGCTGAGGTGGAAGGAGGCTGAGTAGGAGCCACTACTACTACTGGCTCTTCAGACTGGCCAGTTGAAGCAGTGGCTTTTCCCTTGTAGTGCTTGCCTTTAGGGTTGTCATCACCCTGCAGGCTGTACCAGGAGAACGATGCCTTTGCTTTCACTTTCACATCAAATTTCCGCTTTTCTACCTCTAAGTCCTTCAGGTACATGGTCAGGAAGTTGGGGAAGGGATAGTTTCTGTCACCTTCGTTCACCACCCGTGTAATAACCCGAGACATCACATTCCCGACGTTAATCGGGTACCCCGCCATGATCGATGCTACCAATACAGCCTGGTGAAGAGGGAGTGAGTTGTCGTGAGTGGTGGGGTCTAGCCTGCTGCACACAAATGTCTCCCACCCTTTAGCTTCAAAGTTCAAAGTTCTTCGTAAGATCTTCACTCCCGCAGTCAACCAGTCGGGGGTGGTACCTGGGATTGCCAAGTACTCCGCCAACCAAGGACGAACTTCCTCACCCATTGCCATCTTCTCCAAATATAATGATTCATCCTCCTCATTGAAACCCAAGTAGTCATTTATTGCTTTTCCATCAAATATCACTTTTAAGTTCCGCACCTTGGTCACTTTGGTGCCCTTTTTGATGTGGGCAACATTGGTGTAGAATTCCTTGACCAGGTGCTCGTTTGCATCCTGACAGTTGCTTATGAAATACTCCCAGCCCACTCTCTCTCTGAACTGTCTTCTCACATTAGGGTTGTGAGGCAGGAGATCTCTATCAACAAAACTTCTCTCAAGGATTAATTTCCTCTCAGGCCACCATTCTCGGAACTTATGGTAGGCCACCTCACTCACGAACCGGTCTTGCCATGCTTCCGGGTTCTGTGTTCTCTCTACTCCTCCCACTTGGGGCTCACCCCCTCCTCCTTCTCTTTCTTTTTCTACTGGACCCTCACCGGAGAGTGAAGCTGTAGGAGAGGTGGAGTATTCTTTGTCACTGCTTGCAGCTGAGCCCTTAGACGACTCAGAAGATACATGCACTGGTGCTCGGGCAGTAGGAGATCCCTGAGGAGTAGGCTTATCTGTCAGTCTAAACCTCTCCGGGAAGTCATCTATATACTCCGGTACGGAGTCAGAATCGGATGCCTCCCCGGAAGGCTCATACTCATTTCCCGATGAATGGGAAGCAGCTCTATCAGCAGCCCGGATCTCCTTCCTTGTTGCTCTTATTGCTTCCCGTACTTGGGGGATCAGCTTTATCTTTCCACGTCCCCTCCCCCGGGAGGACTCTCCTCGTCCTAGTTGTTTATCACCTTTGCCTTTTGATCTCACCATTGTCTTCAAGCAACATTCAGTCATGCTTTGTTAGTAACAATAGAATCAATTAATTTGATAGTTACAGGATAATAGTTGCAAACAGTACAAAAAATACAGAATGCGGACCGCACAAAATGCAGTGCGGCCGCAAAATGGCCACTGCGGACCGCACAAAATCCATTGCGGTCCGCACAGAGGTGGGGTTCAGACTACCCACTCTCTGAATCTGTGCACCGCGGACCGCACAAAATGCAATGCGGTCCGCATTGAGGCACTGCGGACCGCACAAAATACAATGCGGCCGCAGTCCTCAAGTTCCACTTTCAGATGTTATTTCACCGCGGTCCGCACTAAATGGCATTGCGGACCGCACCAAAACCACCGCGGTCCGTACTGAGTGCCCAGCAGCAGCACCAACCTAGGGTTCGATGTTTTGTCCATTTTTGTCCAAATTTTTACCTAATAATGATTCCCTAGGTGTTGCTTCAGTGATTTATCTAATTATGCCTAATTAAAACAGGGTTAACTAACCTAAGCTACAAATTGAAAGAAAAATGGGAAGAACAGAAGAAAAACTAAGAGAAAAAATAAAAATCAAAAGAAAAAAGCAAAATTAAACAACTACAAAGGAATTAAAGTTACCAGAAATGAGATGCACTGATGATTAATCGAGACTAAGCAGATGAGTTCGTGCAATTTTAGTGATGAACAGTGATTTTTAGGGCTTTGAGAGTACAGAGATCGAAAAGTTCAAATGGAGGGCCACAGGTCCTATTTATAGAAAAAGGTCCTGGGCCCCAGCTCACTTACCCACCGCGGACCGCACAAAATGGTATTGCGGTCCGCATTACACAAGATCATGCAAGTTTGAGAAGGCAACCACTGCGGACCGCACAAAATGTAATGCGGCCGCAATGGTCCACCGCGGACCGCACAAAATGTAATGCGGCCGCGGTGGCAAACTTCAGAGAGTTGGTTTTCATCATCAACCATCAGTGCGGTCCGCACTGATTTTGTGCCCCCGCACTAAGTTCTTTGCGGCCGCACAAAATGTAGTGCGGTCCGCACAGCAAACTTCAGAGACTTGATCAATTCTTTTCCACTTTGTCCTGCACTGCATCAACACAATCCTGTAGCATCTCACAACCAGTCAGTCCAAAAATAAATCCTATACTACAATGAAAATCAAAGAAAAATGAAAAGAAAAACACATGGGTTGCCTCCCAAGAAGCGCCTGATTTAACGTCGCGGCACGACGCATGTTACCATCAAATCATTTTAGATGAAGAAGTGCCACCACGTGGCTGTCATCAATTTTTCCCAGGTAGTGCTTGACCCTGTGCCCATTGACTCTGAAAACCTCCCCATTTTTGTTCTTCAAATCAAGTGCACCAAATGGAGTCACAAACACCACTTCAAAAGGTCCACTCCATTTTGATTTCAGCTTTCCCGGAAACAAACGTAACCGAGAGTTGAACAAGAGAACCAAATCACCCACTTTGAACTCCTTGCCACGAGCATATTTATCATGAAGGTACTTCATCTTGTCCTTGTACAAGGATGAACTGGAGTAGGCATGGAATCGGAATTCATCAAGTTCATTAAGCTGCTCCACACGAAGATTTGCTGCCACATCCCATTCAAGGTTCAATTTCCTCAAAGCCCACATGGCCTTGTGCTCTAACTCAACCGGTAGATGGCAAGCTTTCCCAAACACCAACCGGTACGGAGACATACCAATCGGAGTCTTGTAAGCACATAGAGCATCATCCAACTTCTTAGACCAATCGGTCCTATTTGCATTGACCGTTTTAGACAGAATACTCTTGATTTCCCTGTTTGAGACTTCCACTTGGCCACTCTCCTGAGGATGATAAGGAGTAGAAACTTTGTGGTTGACACCATACTTTGCAAGCAAGGTGTCAAAAGCTCTATTGCAAAAGTGCGACCCCCCATCACTTATGATAGCACGAGGAGTGCCAAACCTTGTAATAATGCTCTTTTTGAGAAACGCAACCACACTCCGAGCTTCATTGTTGGGCAAAGCCACGGCCTCGACCCATTTTGAAACATAGTCAACTGCCACTAGAATGTAGGTGTTCCCGCACGAGCTTACAAATGGGCCCATGAAATCAACACCCCACACATAAAAAATATCCACTTCTAGAATGGTGTTGAGGGGCATCTCATCTTTCTTTGAAATACCACCCGCTCTTTGACATTCGCCACACCTCTTCACAAGATCACTTGCATCTTTATACAAAGTTGGCCAATAAAACCCACAACTCAGAACCTTCGAAGTTGTCCTCGTCCCGCCATAATGGCCACCATAGGGAGAGGAATGACAAGCCTCTAAGAAACTCAACTGCTTTTTCTCAGGGACACACCTCCGGATCACTCCGTCGGTGCAAATCTTGAATAAGTACGGCTCATCCCAATAAAAATCCAAACTATCCCGTTTGAGCTTCTTCATTTGGTTAGAAGAGAGCTCACACGGGGTTATACCAGTCACAAGGTAACTAGCAACATCCGCAAACCATGGCATATCACTCATTGACACAGAAAGTAGCTGCTCATCGGGAAATGCATCATTGATCTCTAGGCCATCACACGACCTCCCTTCCTCCTCCAAGCGGGACAAGTGGTGTGTCACTTGGTTTTCACTACCTTTCCAGTCTACAATTTCCAAATCAAACTCTTGAAGTAACAAGACCCATCACATCAGCCTAGCTTTGGAGTCTTTCTTCGTCATCAAATACCTAAGAGCTGCATGATCGGTATGCACTATGACCTTGGCTCCCATGAGATATGGCCGAAATTTTTCCATAGCGAACACAATAGCCAACAACTCTTTCTCAGTTACCGTGTAGTTCCTTTGAGCCTCATTCATTGTCTTGCTCGCGTAGTACACCAGATGAAACATTTTGTTCACTCTTTGACCCAAAACTGCCCCAACCGCAACATCACTTGCATCGCACATGAGCTCGAAAGGCAAGCTCCAATTGGGTGCGGTAATGATAGGGGTGGTGGTCAACTTATGCTTGAAAAGTTCAAATGCTTGCATACATCCCTCATCGAAACAAAATTGGCATCCTTTTCTAGTAGCTTGCACAAAGGATTCACTACCTTCGAAAAGTCCCTGATAAATCTCCGGTAAAACCCCGCATGCCAAGAAAACTTCTAACCCCTTAAGTGGGGGGAGGAAGCCTTAAAACCACCTCTATTTTGGCCTTGTCCACCTCTATGTCATGCTTTGAAATTTTATGACCCAACACTATGCCCTCCTCAACCATGAAGTGGCATTTTTCCCAATTGAGCACAAGATTGGTGTCTTCACAACGGGCCAACACTCTATCCAAATTTTTCAAACATTCATCAAATGAATCACCCACCACACTAAAGTCGTCCATGAAAACCTCCAAAATATCTTCCACCATATCGGTGAAAATGGCCATCATACACCGTTGGAATGTTGCCGGTGCATTATACAACCCAAAAGGCATCCGAGAAAAGGCAAAGGTGCCATATGGACAAGTAAATGTGGTCTTCTCCTGATCCTCCGGAGCAATCAAGATTTGGTTGTACCCAGAATATCCATCCAAGAAACAGTATAAGGCACGCCCAGCAAGACGATCAAGCATCTGGTCAAGGAAAGGCAATAGGAAGTGATCCTTGCGGGTCACCTTGTTCAGCTTGCGGTAGTCCATGCACACCCTCCATCCGGTAACTGTCCGGGTTGGGATTAGTTCATTATTAGCATTGGTCACCACGGTCATACCACCCTTCTTTGGCACACACTACACCGGCGAAGTCCACTAGCTGTCGGAGATAGGGTACACAACCCCGGCATCTAACCACTTGATCACCTCCTTTTTCACAACTTCTTGCATTGCCTCGTTTAACCTCCTTTGATGTTCCCAGGAGGGTTTTGCATCATCTTCAAGAATAATCTTGTGCATACAGAATGCGGGGCTTATTCCCCGAATATCAGCTAAAGTCCATCCAATTGCCTTCTTCCGCTTTTTGAGCACCGCCAATGTGGCATCAACCTGTATGTTAGTAAGACAAGAGGAAAGAATAACCGGCAAAGTTGAACTAGGGCCTAAGAATTCATACATGAGGTGTGGAGGCAATGGCTTCAACTCCAACACCGGAGGCTCCTCAATCGAAGGATTTGTTGGAGGAGTCTTTCTATTTTCAAGATCCAAAGAGAGTTTCCTAGGCTCATAAGAATAAGAGCCCATTCCATGTAAGGCATTCACGCACTCCACTCGGCCCTCATCATCATTGACATCAAGATTCAACAATACGGCTTCCAGAGCGTCCTCCACATTGATCATTGCACTAGTATCATCAATAATCACAGCCATGACAAGATCCACAAATGAGCACGCTTCTGTACGATTGGGCTGCTTCATTGACTTGCACACATGAAAGACCATTTTCTCATCACCCACCCGGAAAGTGAGTTTCCCTGCTTCCACATTAACTAAGGCCTTCCCCGTAGCAAGGAAAGGTCTCCCCAATATGATCGAAACTTCATAATCTACCTCACAATCCAAGATCACAAAATCAGCTGGCAAGATAAATTTGTCCACCCGGACAAGCACATCATCTATAATACCCAAAGGCCTCTTCATCGATCTATCTGCCATTGCAACCTCATGGAAGTTGGCCTCGGCTGTCCAATCCCCAAAGTCTTGAAAACTGAGTAGGGCATCAAGTTGATACTCGCCCCCAAATCACATAGAGCTTTAGCAAAGTCTGCACTTCCAATAGTGCAAGGAATGGTGAAAGCACTGGGATCCTCCAATTTCGGGGCCATTGAATGTACTATAGCACTAACTTGGTGGGTCATCTTGATAGTTTCAAAGTCCATGGATCTTTTCTTCATCACCAAATCTTTCATGAATTTAGCATAGCCAGGCATTTGCTCCAAAGCCTCCACCAAAGGCACATTAATGGATAAGCTCTTCATCATGTCAATGAACTTTTTGAACTGATTCTCATTTTTCTGC